TCCTCCTCCTCCTCCTCTCTTTCTCTCTCTCACACACACACATCCGGACTTGAAGCAAAGACTTAAGTCTAGTTCAACGAAGTAGAGAGTGAAGAAAAGAAGAAAAGGATGTGTTTAGACACAAATCAACTTGTAGTTTCTTGCTTACAATTTCAATTTCAATAACCAAATCGAGAGAGACGGAGAGACGGGAAGGAAGAGCTTGAGAGAGAGAGAGAGAGAGCGAGAGAGAGAGAGAAATCGATATCTCGCTGGTGCAGATGGCGATGGCGATGGCGGTGGCGGTGGCGGTGGCGGTGGAGCTTCGAAATCGAAATCGAAATCGAAATCGAAATTAGACATTCAGATGAAATCAAAATCAGAGAAATCGAGCTGGTGCAGATAGTGGTGGCGGTGGAGCTTCGAAACAGAAATCGAAATCAAAATCGAAATTGAGAGAGAGAACTTCGATTAGGGCTATAGCGAGAGATGACTTGATCCGTTGAGACGGTTAGAGAGAGAGAGAGCTAACGAGAGACAGAGTGAGTGAGTGAGAGATTAGGGCTAGAATGTATTATATTTGATATTCACCCGCTCACTCATTTAAGAGAGAGAGAGATAGGACTTTCGAAGACGTTTTCAAACGCCTTTGGTTTCTAAAACGGTGCCGTTTTGATATTAAACAAAAGCGACGTTTAGAAAACATCGTTAAATATGATAAAACGCGACGTTTAATAAAACGCCGTTAAATAAACGTCGTCTAAACCCACATTTCTTGTAATGCAAGCTACCTTGGCTCTGTGCTCAACATTGCTGAACTGTGATGACCCCAACTACAAGCTGGCTATCTGTCGAGCTACTCCTAGCTCGGCCCACTGCACTTGTCACCATCTTGGCCTGATATAAGGTTTGTCCCCAGATAACTAGGTTCAAGCCCTAGTAGTACATCTGCGAACGTCACAGCGCCTGCTCAGCCCAAGACCGAGCTACCCAATAGCTCCTCCTCGGCCCACTGTGCGGCATCTTCACTAATGATGTTGCCTAGCTCAATCCAGTTTGTTCACACAAATTACCCTCTCAGAGTTGTATTGATTGATCTGAATGAAGTTTTCTCAACTCCTTTATGGTGAGATTTTGTAGCCATCTGGGTGCCCATGCATTGTGAGCCTATTTCTCTCTATGTTCACCAGTACAGAAAATTAGGAATCTGGTGTATTTGAAGCTGTGGCTACAAATGGTGAGTCCAAATATTTACCTTTTGTTTGTTTTGATAAAAAACAAATTTATAAAAAAAAAATGGTGTAGATGTAAGTTCGAAAAATATTTTTCATTCAAATAAATTCAATTTTCGATGTAACAAACAATCACAAAAGATTTTTGCCGAAACAAAGAGTCTTAGATTCGGTTATTCATCATTCAGTACTCTCAATACCCTTTTTCTGATTCAGGAAATTGTCTCTCCACCCAAATGGAAATAAGAGAAGGAATGTGAATGGTCACATTTCTCTTTACTTGGCAATAGCAGAGATGAAAACCCTTCTTCCTGGTTGGGAGATCAATGTCAACGTCAAATTGTTTGTGTTCGATCATATTCGACATAAATACTTAACCATCCAAGGTATATCTAACTACCTTTGTACTCAAATTTCTTTAATATTGTCCATAAATTTTCATTCTTAACTTAACCAACATTATATATATTCATTAATTATGTAGATGCTGAAGGGGAAATTAAGCGCTTTCATCGTATGAAAACTGAATGGGGGTTTCGACCAATTGCTTCCCTTGGACACTTTCACTGATCCCTCAAATGGGTGTCTTCTTGATGATTGTTGTGTGTTTGGAGTAGAGGTTTTCGTTATAAAATATAATGGTAAAGGCGAGTGCGCATTGATGATGAAGGATCCTGCGAAAAACACTTCCACTTGGAATATTAGTAAATTATCAACAATAGACAAAGGATTTTTTTTTCTCTGAAGAGTTTGTTGTTGGAGAGCACAAATGGTATTGACAGTTCAATTCTTTTATTTATTTATTTATTATTTTTTTGTTTAACTAGATACATTATGGAATTTATTTTCGTTCAGGAAGTTATGGTTTTACCCAAAGGAAAACCAAATGCAAAATGGAAAAGTTCTTCATTGTTTCTGGTGTTGGCTGATGGTGAAACCCTTCTGAAAGGAAATTGTAGGCTGAATATAAGCCAAGGATAAAGGACCAAGTCAAAGGCAATCGTTTGGAGAAAGAAGGTAAAATTTCATGCTGCGACATGTATAAATTTGGGTTAATTATAATCAATGTTCCTGCATTTTTATAAAATTTTATCTTAACCCCTTTATTTTCAACTAGACAGTTAAATTCTTACATTTTAAATTGAATTGCAATACCATCATTTCCCTCACCCGACACT